TCTGTTTGGCAAGCTCAAGGATGACTATTGAGAAGCTGCGAGCATAGTTTGTGATACACAGACTCCCAGAAGTATTGGCCATTGACAATGGAACATCATTTCCCAGCAGGGAATTAGAGTATTTCCTAAAGTCAAATGGCATTTGGCACATAAGGACAAGTCCATACCAACTGTTGTCCAATTGTCTAGAAAGAGTGGTCCAAACGTTGAAGGCAGGCTTAAAGAAGCAGCCTATAGCGTCAACTGATACCAAACTGTTCCGGTACCTGTTCAATTATAGGACCACCCCACGACAGGAATAGCTCCAGTGGAGTTGCTGATGGGGAGAAGATATTCCCAAACCTAGGTGAGGGAAGTGTGAAACAGCAGCAGAAATACCAATGCCAGCCACGTATTGCCTCTAAGCAAGAGAGACTGTGTAATTCAGGGGACGAAGGCCTGTAGGTCCTCCCTCCTCCACCTAGTGTCGAGCAAACCTGAGTCCGAGATGGTTACAGCTTCGATACTACTGTGACCACAGAAAGAAGAGGAAGAGGAAACTTCCCCCGAGGTGCTCTGGACACAAGAGGTGGGCTACGGTCCAGTACAGACCTCCTGTACCAGAATCCGAAATCAGTGGGACAAAAATGTCACAGGAAAAGCTACAAGCCAAAGAAGAGGCCTACAGCTCCAGATGTAGCCGGGAGAGATGTAGTGATTGGAAACATGTTGACCTCTGACTATGAGGTTGTAGATTGGGATTGTTAACCTGGGCCAAATCAGGAAAGCCCTGGCTAACCAATACAACCAGAAGATTCAATCTCCTCAGTTCAGGGACTGACTCCAAGCTGACTGGCCACAGCCAGTGTATCGTGCACAAGTAAATAAAACGTGACTTGGTGATGGGATACTGGCCTCTGCGCAGTTATTTCAATCCCTGACTCTGGCTGCAATCGCAATCCAGGTTTGCTGGGTCTGTTGGTGTGGCCTCATTTTCTGATTAACAGGATACAGTCCTCCTCGCTGCTCCACCATCCATCCTCCAGTATCTCCAGTTCCTCATTTGGCTACCTGAACAGCCAACTTGCTTTTCTCAGACATTGTCTTGGGGCTAAAGGTACAGAACCTGACATGCTGTGGAGCTGGAGTTTAAACATGGTGCCAGTGGGGTTGTGTGAAAGCTGGGAGGTAGCAGCAGTGGTGAGTGCTGTCACCCCTCCTACTATGTAGCTATATGAGATGGGAGATGTACAGCCTGGCTACATTACTAATAAGAAGAATAACATTGCCATCATGGGACACAGCAGATTGGGTGCCATGAATCTCATTCAACAGAACACTGTCTAAAAATTCAACCTAAGACACATCCAGGTTTCAATTTTTCAAGAGTCCTAGTCTCAATCTTCTACAATCTACCTAATAGTATTAGAGTCATAGTCATATAGCATGGAAACAGGCCCTTCGACCCAACTCACCCATGCCAACCAGGTTTCTTCAACTGAACTAGTCCTATTTGCCTGCATTTGGCCTATATCTCTTTAAACCTTTCCTATCCTATGTATCTATTCGAAATATCTTTTAAAGATTATAATTGTACCCACTTCTACCACTTACTCTGGCAGCTCGTTCCATACACACACACAACCCTCTGGGAAAAGGTCACCCCTTTGGTCCCTTTTAAATCTTTTCCCTCTCACCTCAAACTTATGCCCTTTAGTTTTGGACCCCACTATCCTTAGGGAAAAGGACTTGCAATTCACCCAATCTATGCCCCTTAAAATTTTATCAACTTCTTATAAAAGTGACCTCTCAACCTCCTAAACCCCAGGGACAAAAGCTCCAGCCTATTCAACCTCTTCTTTATAACTCAAACCCTCCGCTCTCGGTAACATCCTTGTAAGTCTTCGAGAATTAATTATCATATGTACTTAGTTCAATGAGAAATGCCCCGGTTGGTTCAAAGCACTAACAACTTTATAAAAATAAAGCAGTTTCAAAACTTTTCCATCACAAACAACTGATTTTGATTTTTGTTTTTGCAAGTCTGAACGAACGCACTAACCACAAATGCTTTTTGTAAAGGCATTTGTAATGAAGTGACCACGTAGTAGTAATAATAATACTTAATGAATGACCGAAGATAGGTAGCCACTTGCTGTTGAAAAGACATAAGTGCACTTGTCACAGCTTCCTGCATTCATTTTCTTTTGGATCTGCTGTATTTCACAATGAATCAATGAAAAATGACAGGCCAATTATTGAAACATATAATTTCATTGCTCAGACTGCAGCTGCTTTGGCAAAGGATTCTAAATAGTGCAAATGAGGCAAATTTCAAAAAAATGTACTTCATCGCCTTTAGTACTTGATGAACGGCAGAAAACTTTAAATGGAAGCTTAAACCATTAATGACAACTTGCAGGCTTTTCCATTGTTGGTACCATCAGTGGTACATTTGCATTAATCCTTTTCAACAACAGCCTGTTCAACACAAAAAAAATTAAGCTAGGTTTGTAATGTGCTATTAAAACACATATCGTGTCATATCGGCTTTTAATTTTTAAGCTTCAATTCTCACAGAACGAGTTTAAAGAAGGTTTGCAACAATTTCCACAGAAGTGGAAGATCAAAGGTCTTAAAGATTTCCAGTCAATTAATATATTATTTTATACCTCTCAAGATTTGCATTTTTCTGGAGAATCAGAATGATATCAATTAATCTCACTATTACTTAAAGCTTTTACTCATTGGGGAAGTTACTAATTATTGCTGATTAATTTTATTTTGATCTTTACAGATACGCAGCAAAGAAGGATATTTAATGCTGTCATGAACACTCTAATATTTCACTTTACTTTGGATAAGCAGATAATTTTCTTTACTGAGTTGGGAACTACATCCCTTTGAATTGCAGATAACATTCTGATGTATACACACATCCAGAGGGTCTTATGATATACAAAAGGCAGAATTCTCGCTGTCGAAAATAACTTCACTGAATGTTTGCAATTTCATTCTTTTGGGTGGGATGTGGAGGTAGGGCGGGGTGTATTGGGGTGGATTGGGGTGGGGTTTGGCCTGCTAACCTGGAATCTGCACAGAGGCAGCAATGGGAGCTGCTAGACGTTGAAGCAGGCTGGTTAAAAGATCCACCTTGGTGCCCTGAAATTTCATTCCAGTTGAAAAACACAAAATGCAGTAAAGCTAAGAACAGCTTCCAACCCCCCTCTTTTCCTTAGCCTCACACTCTCTCTCCATGTCCCATCCACATCACCTCACCAACTCCATGGCACTGATATTCCCTCCATGTCAATTTCTGACCCCTATCCAATGCCCTGGTCCCTTACACCGTCCATGCTAATCTATGTTCCCAATTCTCATGGCTGACTGTAACCTCCATGCCAATAACTGACCCTCTGTCCATCCTGATGCCCCCTTGTATTGTCTTGTCCAACATAATGGCAACTCGTGCAAACCCATGACCTCCAACCCACCACACTTTGCCCTTACACTCTCCATGCCAACTCATCCAGTACCTGCCATGAGTGTTAATCAGGAGTCATGGTGAGATGAGATGAGAAAGTTCCAAGTATCTATTACAAATTTAACTACATTAATAAAATTAACATAAACAAAAGCCTATTTAATACATTCACATCCCTTTGAGTACTTAACCTACTTAGAAGATAAACTTTTGTACTTATAGCTCCATATTAAAGACAGTTCATTTCTAAATAGCCTCCCTCAGCCTTCAGTGAAACTGCTAATCTATAAGGCACCCGCTGAGATGATAGGTTATGCAAGCAATTAAGAAGCATTAATTTTATCACAATCTTACTCAGGCTTATCTCAACAAACACTGACTGGAATTAAAAGCACTGATTTTATTTTCAATGTAGACAGATTTTTTTTTTCTCCAAAATGTAAGGGCCAAGGTTTTAAATGACATTTTAACAGTTCCAAAAACACATTTTATGCATATTCATGTCTAAAACAATCCCAAAGGGTACCTGATCTCTCCAAATCACTTCAGCAAGGTTTAGACTCTTCCATCAAACATCTAAAGAGTTACATTTATGAAATCTGACTGATCGAAGTTGTGTGCATTGGAAGGCAGCAGCATTTTTAAGTGTGGACCTTCTGATACTGCTCCACACCCAACAAAAATTGTGGGCACAAAAACAAAGTTGCCGGAAAAGCTCAGCAGGTCAGGCAGCATCTGTGAAGGAGAAAACAGTTAACGTTTCTGGTCCGGTGACCCTTCTGTTTTCTTTTTCACAGATGCTGCCAGACCTGCTGAGCTTTTCCAGCAACTTTGTTTTTTGTTCCTGATTTACAGCATCCGCAGTTCTTTTGGTTTTTAAAAATTGTGGGCCTCAATGTCTGCGGCAGACCTTCCAGATTCTGGGCTCTGGTGCCATTTGACCAAGACAGAGCCCCCTGGCTTTATGAAATACGAGGCCACAGTTATGCTTTGTGGGCCAAAATGCTACCGTTTATACATATCATCCATTTCCAAAATTGTTTTGTCAACTTAGAAGCTAGCAAAAATTTTTGCCAACATAGATTCTTATAAAGTGCTTGACTCACTTAATCCATGCTGTTTCTTGTGGCTAGGTGGAAAATAAACATATATTTTCTACATTATGACACCAACAGCAATGTAGGCCTTGAGTTCATTATTGTCATAGGCTAGATAAGAGTGATTTTTTTCCTTGGATAAGCTGAACTCAGTCTTTATCACTTAAATCACACAACTGCTTTATCAATGTGTAATGAACTGATTAGATAATATTGGCAAAAGCACTAGATCAATAATGTTTATTTTGGTAACTTGAAGGATTCATCACTTATGTTCCATAAGGTATACGATGGAATAATCTGTCATGGTTCAATTATTTTATTTTATTTCATGTTTTCATACACATGATGAATTGTCTGGTCTCATCTGTGTTGAAGGCTAAGTGACTCCATGAAGAATTTCAAATTTGTATATAAACCATTTCTGAGAATGCAAGTACCTTTTTGTGCGATTTGACAAAACTCTTCTTGAAGTTTAGTATAATCTGCAGTAGAATCATGGGAGTCCACAAGTGGACTTGGCTGCATTGGATAGTCTCCAACATCAGCAGAGAGATTAGGATTTGAAGAGTGCAAACGAAGTGGAGACATAGGACCGCTGGAAGGAACCTGCAAGTGTGAACAAATTAGCTTAGTAATGCCTTAGTAACATCATTTCTCCTGGAAGGCCAAAGTATTTATAAACATAAAACTATATCCACAATCTAGCAATAAATAATCATCATAGTAATTCAGAAAAGTGTTTAGATAATGATTTATAGCCCAGAACAGAAGCATTTTGATCTTTTAAAGCACAAGCGAAATCTGTCACGATTAGCAAGTGAGCCTTTTAGAACAAAACTGTTTATGAGTCTTACAAAATCATGATTAGATGGCACCTCCAATGTATTTTGTACTTCTTGGGAAGCACATAGTGGAATTTTGAGCATCTTCCTTTATCTTACACTGAGTTTCTCTGCCTCCACACAGCTATTTCTCTCTCCACACATGCTGCCACACCCACTATGTTTTGCTGACATGTTTTACTTTTGACCATATGTGCACTAAATGGAACACAGGAAGTCTGCAGGGTGACAACTGACCCAGTTCATTTAACCAAAAAGTCCTCATAAGCAAAACTGCGTTAGGAATGCAAGGTAGCCACTGCTACAATTAGATTATAATTTACAGTTATGGGTCTATGTCCATATTTCAGTATTGCAGATTTCAGACAGACAGATCCTGTCCAATGTAACTGGCAACATATACTGCCAAACTGTTAAGCTCATTTCACAGATAAACTGCAAACTAGTTTGTATGAAAGTTCAGATTCATGAGCATACACCTATACTTGGGCAGGACTGGAAGACAATTGTTAGATGTGAACTTTACATGATTGCAACCTTCTTGAAGGCAAACCTTGAAAATTTTCTGAGACAAACCTATATCTTTTATAGCCATGGTGTGTAGGGAGGTCTCAAAGGCTCTGGCTGAAGAAAAGTTTTCAAAGGATATAGTTCTACCTTTACTTCGGGGCAACAATGTCTGATATGGCAGAAAGTAAATCAATTCAATGAGCAATTGTTAAAGAAATAAACTATTTCTTCTGGAATCTTACGTTCTGGCAGGATCTCCTCTTAACCTTTTCCCACACACATTACTAAAAGGACAGCCCACATGTGTTTGGGTTCTCCTCAGTGGTTGCCAGAAGACAATCAGTTAATAGAACTGAATTTTAATGGACTGGAACTCTGATGCCAGACTTTTTTTTTAAAAAAGTATCTGGGTAGGACAGAGGACAATTGGGTTCGCTTAGCCTCTTGATGAATTTGAAGGGCAGGTACTGTTGTTGCCGTGGCGCTGCTCAGTTGGCCATAGAGTAACTGGTTCGGGAAGAGTCCTCCTCTCCGAGTCTGCAGGGGAGGGGGGTCACTCAGGTTCACCAGGCGGCCTACCCTTAAAGCAGAAGGCCTTCCCTCCATCTGGTGGAACACCAGCAGCACGAGGAAGAGGCCTTTAGTTGATCACTTACGGAACACAACTGACATCTGGACATGACAGACATCTTTGACATTCCCTTGCCACTGGCAGAATGCCATGGCAGCAGAACATTTCAACACCCCTTTGTTTCTCTCACGATGTTTATGGCTCTCCCCACTGCCACACTTCACAATCAGTACAATGCACCCTATATACGGTATATCTCAAACTTGCAGAATGCTCTCGAGTGCTTGTTGGCTCATGAACCAAGAAGAAACCCAGTGTTATCACACAGGCACAATACATAAACAACAGTGTAATATATTCAATTTAAAATACTTATTCAAGCATTTTATTCTGGGTGGCTTATGATGGGATACAGACAATTTCACAAACTGTGGATTTGGGTTAGAATATACAAATTTATTTTATGACTAATGGAAAATTGTGGCAGCTTGCGAATGCAGGATAACAAAAGCCATGATTGCAACTCATCTCAGATAACAAGCGACAGCAACATGAAGGTGAACGGAGTACCTGAAGCTGCATTTTTCCATCTTTGCTGACGCTTTTTGTTCTCCATCTTCTGGTGACACGTTTGTCTTTCTTTGTAATATCTATGCAATTAGCCTACATTACAAAAATGGTTAAAGCCAAAAACAACAGGCACCTGAATTTATACAGTTGCACATCATAGACGAGGACAATTTAGAAACTACAATTTGAAAAAATGTCTAGATTAAGTTTGGCATGATTTGCCAAAACCATACAAAAACAAATTAATTCTCAAGTATCTATTAGTTTATTTTTTAATTTATTTTAGTAACCACCCTAATCACTTCATAATGACCTCACAATAATGACGTCACAAGCTGTTAATGGCTGTCACACAAATGTACTGAGATGTCAATTTCTGCAACTTACAAAAAACCTGAATTACCTCTTTTTAAGCAGGAAATCGCTAATGAAATATATTAGGAAATGACTTGAAAGCTGTAATCTAACTTCAGCATTCTGCCAAGTGTTGGTCTGTTCCGGCTTTGCATTCGTGCTTTATGACACTATCTCAATTTTCCCTTTAATTGGTATCATTATTCTAAATTTACTATTCTAAGTTTAGCTCCTTCCTTGCAAAGCTGACCAATTTGTTCACACTAACTAGCTTAATGAAAGCAACCTTGCACTGTACATTTTGCGTAAAGCAATCAAGTAAAAGCAACAGAATGCTTGCTAACTTTTTAACCTCTTAGAATTGGGCAAATTGCTGAATTGCATCTGGTGTGAGGAAGACAGATTTGCATATATTTATTTCCAATTCACCAAACTAATGCCTATTAAATCTATGTTGAACAGAGAAATGTAGGGGGCAACGCCACTTAAAGGTTATTTTGCCAATACATGCAATAGTCACGATTCAAACAGCGCTTCTAAAAAGCAATTAAAAACTCATTGCTAAATTATTCTTGAGCACCTGAAACAGTTTACATTTTTAATTGGAATGGCTATAAGGCTGCACTTCAGTTACACTAAAATATGTTATTTCTGAACAAATACATTATTGTAAGACAAGTAAGTATTTTAATAAACATTAGCAGAAGCACCTTATCCTGAAGCTTCTATGAGCATCAAGGTTTCCTACATTTTCAAGTATCGGGTTATGTACACATAGATTGCATTTGTATCATCAAATCAATATTAAATAAATAATAATATCATGTTATACCTGCATATCAGTGAAATTAGGTGCAGACTGTGTCCTTTGTAGGATTTCCAGATTTTGTAGAAGTTTACTGAGTTCAACTAAGCTGGATTGGCAATTTGCGAGATCTGCAGAAATCGTAAAAGGTGTGAATATCCCTAATAGTTTCATCTTTAGATCCAAGAACACGGATAGAAAGGTGGTGGCATTCTGGTAGCAATACTGAGCAAAGTAATTCTGAGGCCCAAGTTGAAGACCTGGGGATATGGGTTCAAATTCCACCACGGTAGCTGGTGAACTTTACATTTAATTAATAAAAAGATCTTGAATTGATTGTCAATTATTGCAAAAAGCCAACTGGTTCACTAACATCCTTTTGGGGAAGGAAATCTGCCACAGTTACCTGGTCTGGCTTACATGTGACTCCACAAATACAATACAATTGACTATTAATAGTTCGGGCAGCCATTCAGTTCGAGGACATTCAGCGATGAGCAACAAATACTATCCATACAAGTGACACCCGCAACCCAAAAAAGAACAAAAGAAAAATAAAATTATTGAACTAGGTTTCACAAAATACCTTTAGCACACTTGTTCATTTCCTCAGATTCCAACAACCATGCTGCAACTTTGGTTTGGCTGCTGCTGCAGGAAGCAGGTAGACTTGTACTGCATGGAATGGAGGGCAGCCATGTGAAATTGTTCTGCTGAGGCTAAGTACATAAAAAGAAACAGATACTACATGAAACACAAAATTAATGTAGCTTTTAGTTGATAGAGTAGTAAGACAGGACAACCTCAAAATACTGGAACCAAAAGCATCTTTGGTGGATCTCATATTTGCTGAGATTCCTTCGTATCTATTTCAACATCATTGTAGCTCTCAAATGTGAGTAAACTGATTTTTTTTTTTTAAAAACAAACAATTAGTACCGTTCCATTTCACTTTTACAAATTTAGTTTTTTCTTGCCTTTTGTACTTCCATTCCCAACTTTCATAAAGGAGGGAAAGCTTATAATTGGATACAACAGTGTGGAGCTGGAGGAACACAGCAGGTTAGGCAGCATCAGAGGAGCAGGAAAGTTGACGTTTCAGGTCAGGACCCTTCTTCAGAATTGGGGAGGGGGAAGGGAGGTGGGATTGTGATAGGTGAGTGCAGGGTAGGGAGTGGTGGGGATTGGTCAGTGGGTTGGGTGGGGTGGATAGGTGGGAGAGAAGATGGGCAGGTTGTGTCAGGTCAAGGAGGCAGGGATAAGAGGGAGGGTTGGACATGGGATGAAGCGGGGGGTGGGGAGATTTTAAAACTGGTGAATTCTATGTTTAGGCCATTGGGCTTTAGGCTCCCAAGGTGGAATATGAGGTGCTGCTCCTCCAGTTTGCAGGTGGCATCATTGTGACACTGGAGGAGGCCTGAAATTGACATCTATTTCAAGCCCACCAACTCCCACAGCTCCCTGAACTACACCTCCTCTCACCTACCTTCCTGCAATAATGCAATCCCCTACTTCCAATTCCACTGCCTCCGCTCCCAAAAGGACCCTCCCCCCAACAAAAAAAAGACAGAATCCCCCTTGTCCTCACGTCACCTCACTAACCTTCGCATCCAGCGTATCATTCTCCGCCACTTTTGCCACCTACAATCCAACCCCATAACCAAATAGATATTTCCCTCCCAACCCCTATCTGCCTTTCATAGGGACCGCTCTCTCCACGACTCCTTCACACTCTCCACTAACTCCACCACCCCCGGCACCTTTCCCTGCAACCGCATGAAGTGCTACACCTGCCCCTACACCTCCCCCCTCACCTCCATTCAAGGCCCAAAACAAACCTTTCATATCATACAGGGGTTCGCCTGTACATCCGTCAACTTGGTCTACTGTATCCGCTGCTCCCAATGTGGCCTCCTCCACATCAGTGAGACCAAGCAGAGGCTCCGAGACTGTTTCGTAAAGCATCTGCGCTCTGTATGCAACAATACCTTCCAGTCACCAACCATTTTAACTTCCCCTCCCACTCCCTGGGTGACATGTACATCCTGGGCCTTCTCCAGTGTCACCATGACACCACCCGAAAACTGGAGGAGCAGCACCTCATGTTCAGCCTTTGGAGCCTACGGCCCGATGGCCTAACCATGGAATTGACCAGTTTTAAAACCTCCCCACCCCTGGCCTCATCCCATGTCCAACTCTCCCTCTCAACCCCACCTCCTTGACCTGACACAACTGTCCATCTTCTCTCACAACTATCTGCCCCATCCATCCCATTGACGAATCCCCACCACTCCCTACCTGCACTCTCCTGTCACCATCCCACCTACCTTCCCCAGCCCCACCCCTCCTCTCTCTATTTATTTTCCAGCTCCCTTCCCCTCCCCATTTCTGAAGAAGGGTCCTGAAACGTCAACTTTCCTGCTCCTCTAATGCTGTCTGACCTGCTGTGCTCCTCCAGCTCCACACTGTGTTGTCTCGGACTCCAGCATCTGCAGGTCTTGCTATCTCATAGCTTATAATTGGATGTCTTGTTTAATGATCCATGCGATGACCCTCCTCAGATGTCTGGAGAAACAATGTACTTCCCACAACAGCTCTTAGTGGGCAGGTATGATGGGATGTTCCCCATGATCTTGGACTCATGGCCACAATCTAAGTTGTGGTGACCCTTCACTTTCCACTATGCAGCCAGTAACCATATCACCCAGGCCCAGTGCTGATTGGTCAAATGCTCAGTCTTCAAGGAATGTCAATTGGTGGGTCAATGATGAGATGCTGGCTCCTTATGCTGTGTGTGTTTCATGATTCCATCCAGAGAGTGAGCTGATATCAGCTGCATGAAATATAATTGGTGTTTCCAAAATAACTAGGTGCAACGCAAGTTGCTTTTGTAGCAGATATTTGTAGTCTTAGTGGAAAGAAACAGAGTGAGAATCATGGATGAGTCACCTGAGATTTTCAGTTGAAGCACCAACTGTTCCAGAAGTGGCAAGCCATACCATTTGTTCGCATCCTATTTGCTTCCTCTTGTATTGACGGCCACAGCTTCTGTTTGCCTTTTATCATTTCACATCACTTGTTTGTACCATTCACTGCCTTTTAAACAATTTTTTTAAACTAATTTTTTATTATATTAGTTGTTTCTTTTCCTTATTACTTATCTTTGCTTGAAAAGTCATTGCTTTTAAATGAATGAAAATAATGTCTTTGTTGAAAATAAGAGGACATTAAGTTATAATTAGGCTATTTTCAGTCATTAACTTGCCTAACTTCATGAGGTAACATTTAGATAGAAAATAGTCATTTTATTAAACACCTCAAAGCCTCTCACTTAAACAGCTTCCTATTAGTATTGTACATTGTTGATATTCAGAGGCCTGAAAATATACAATTAAGATAACCTCACTTTACAAATATATTTAAAAAGGCATAACAATCATCATAAAAACATGGGGCTTAATACTGTTGGTTACATCCAAACACAACAATGTATTGACCACCATTATTTTCAACTGTAAGAAACCTCAGTGGGGAAAGAAGTTTAAGGTCCAATTTCAAACTGCAGTAACATATCACTTTAGCACGGGCATGATTAATGCAACATAGGAAACCTGCAGTTGTTTATACTTACAATATTAGAAGCCTTTCTAAAAACGGCTCAAAGTTTAGCATTGTATATTAATCAAATGTTGTAGTAATTCATCCATCAGTTCAGACATAGTAAGGAGATGCATGTGTCTGCTGGCAACAAACCCGAACAGGGTGCATACTCTGAAGAAGGGTCCCGACCCAAAACGTCAACTTTCCTGCTCCTCTGATGCTGCCTGGCCTGCTGTGTTCCTCCAGCTCCACACTGTTATTGCATACAATGGTAGTTGGCTGTGGTTTCATAAATGATCTCTTTCACCGATGATCTATCTCTCTTCGTAAACGTACAATGTAAAGGCTTTGGAAATAGTACTGAATGACAATGGAAATGGGCGAGTCTGGTGATATCATATGGTAAGGGTAGTAGCTACCCACTGCACATGTGTAAACTTGGCCTGGTGGACGTCACACATTGAAGGACATAACTGGAGAAGCATGTACACTTCTGATTCACGATCAGGAATCACTCCGAAAGGGGATACATTGAGAATAATCTTTATTTCAATTAATATATTATAAAGCAATTAGAATCTTCATTTGTTCTTGGATACTGTGTAGTATTCAATTAGGATCAATGACAAGTGGTGACTCATCTCTACCCAAACCTAATTAATTAGAGTCTGAATCTTCTGAATAAAAACAAACAAAAAAAACTGCAGATGCCGAAAATCAGAAACAAAAACAGAAAATGCTGGAAAGCCTCAGCAGGTCTGGCAGCATCTGAGGAGAGAGATCCGAGTTAACGTTTCGGGTTCAATGACCCTGCTTGTGAGCAATTGTGAAGAAGGGTCACTGGACCCAAAATGTTAATTCTGATTTCTCTCCACAGATGCTGCCAGATCTTCTGAGCCTTTCCAGCATTTATGTTTTTGTCCCAAATGTTCCGAGATGGGCTGTTTGCCCTACACTTACTCTGGCCTTTTCTTGGTTTACTTAGAGCTTTAGACAGCAGCTTTAAAGCTAGCATAACTCAGGGTGATTGGGCTAGAGAGTCAAAGCACTCTGGTGGCCCCAGCAATCTCTACCCTTCTCCTGGAAATGTTCACCTCATTCACGGTGTCCCTGCAGTTATTATTTCACCATTACTATATGGTGTCCCAACGTATACCAACCCCAGCAATGTTCACACCCCTCCAAGCCCCATCTCAACAATGATCTACTCCCCAAACCAGCTGAGCTCCACAACCCCAGACAGTGTCCACCCACTTCTGAAAACCCCTCTCCCAGATCACCCTCCAGGATCCCTTGCTCCTGTCCAGCTGATGATAGCAGAGACAGCACTGTCAGGGAATGGGAGGGTGGAATAGGTTTGTAAGGTGTGGTAGCTGTGGGGTTGAATATTGTTGGGTATGTGAGGGAGATGTTGAGCAGTGTTGGGGGTTGACATCTTCATTTAACAAACTGAAGACAGACTGAAGGGGCAATATTTTCAGGTCATCATGAGAAAAGGGGCTGCACTGGAGTTACATCTGATAATTGGCCTCCCAGCTCTGTTTGGTCCTGCCTCCCTGCAGTACCCAGCATCTAAGGTACAAAGACCTTAGTGTTAAATGGTAAGTGGGTGTGTTAAAATTGTAGTCAGCACTGGATACACCCTCTCCGATGATGATCAGAAGATCTAGGCTATCATTAGTATGTGAGAGCTGTCCAAATAGCTCACTTCCTAACTTTTAGAGAGCCAAGCCTTTTAATAAGAACAACTTCCTCTGAATATGTTAGGTTCCAATAAGCAGTTTGTCCAACTGGCAGCAAGGTAGCATATATATCCAATAAACTACTCCACGCTGAAGTACTTGCAGTTCACCTGCTTCATGTGCCAATAATGGTGGAACATACATCTGACTTTAATGTTTATAGTAAGTCACTTAGGATCTGGAACAATTTGTTAAGTATAAGAAAGATACTAGAGTATTCAAAAAGGAAACAAATACAATAAAGGTGCTCAGAGTAGGGCGTTCCTGGTGTTCAAAGAGCAGGGATGCTGGAGTGATTTGGCAAGTTGTTGGAGGGAATCCTGAGGGATAGGATTTACATGTATTTGGAAAGGCAAGGACTGATTAAGGATAGTCAA